AATTAAGTCATACATATTTGCAACCGCACTTCAAGGCTGAGGAGAGGAAAACAGAGAAAAGAAAGAACAAAGAACATATTAACTCCTTGAGTCCTTGCAGCTGCAGTTCAGCAATAGAACTTCAAAATTTATTCTAAACTATTGTCAATCATGACACCTGCAGGACGCAGAGGAGACTCACATGTAGGTTAAGGGTTAGTTTTAAAAATAAATGTCTCTTTCTTGTCCAGTAAGGGGTAGATTATTTATATAATCACTTCCTCTGATCATACAACAGCGAATCCTAATTACACATTTTTAATTATATTTTCAAAATGTTAAAATGAGTTTTTCAGTTTGATATTAGTGTTGATGTCCTCCTACATATTTAGGCATTGACATATTTTCTCTCTTTATTCACATTCACCTTTCTGTTCTACTGATTTTATTTGAAAATATACAGACAAATGATCAAGATGGCAAAATTTTAGACTGAATTTTCAAGAACAACAAATTAATCTGTCACTCTGTCTCCATACATCATATAAGAATACTCTATTGAGAAAAATGTCTAACTGCACACACACAATTCATAGGCAGCTATAGCATTTATGAAACAGGGCCACTAACCAGTATGTTATAGAATCTCTAATTCTATTATACTCATTTAAGCAAAAATTTAAACATTATTTATTAGCAATCAAATAATAAATATTAATCTGCAACAACAGAAAAATATATCAGCTAGTCTTTTTATGTTATTTTTGTGCATTTAGTTCTAGCATGACCTTAAACCAGGGAAGAGAGGAGAAGGATTATAGGAAGATAACAATGGAAGAGGGAGAAGGAGGGCAGACAAACAAGTGGAGAAAAGAAATAAGATAATATATTGCAAAAATGCTACAATCATTTACCTAATACATTATTTGGAGTCCAAAAATTATTGTTCTCTTGAAAATGCAAAATTCCATCTACATAAAGATTTAATATGTCAATATGCTACTTATTAGTATCAATGTAAGGTAGTCTTCAGAAATTTGATGAAATGGTTGGTCTGTCCTTTCTCATTTTCCTCACAAGCTAGAAATGGTGTAATTTTGCACTGTTCACAAACCAAAGCAACAAAAAAGAAATTAAATGAAAGAATTCATTTCTATGCTTGTCTCATAATTCATGTTTATAACTAACTTTTGTACCTAAATGAATAATATACGTATTTCTGCATGTGTGATAGCAAATATTCACTTTAATTATGTCATATTTTGTCAAAGATATAAGTACTAAAATATTATTAAGCTATATCTTAAAAGAAACTATATTATTTTATGTGTTTTTTCTAGTGTGGATGGAATACATTGGACTTCGGATGTTTTTATTTATTGTTCATTATTTACTATATTAAGGTACTTAATATGTATTTTCTGATGGTCTTAGATCAGATATAAATACATGTTTTTCATTTAGTGTTTGTAAAGTTGTATTGTATTTCAGGTGCCATCTACCTCAAAATTTTTCTATTAAAAAATCTAGGATAAATGACAATCTTTGATATTCAGCTATAGTTGGTGAAAACAGGCATTCTTATGCCAATTTGGAAAACAGAGCCAAATAGAAATCTATTTATCTGTTCTTTCAAATACCTAATCACACATTCTTTCATTATAGATCACTTACTTGGATCGTTCTATCTCTCTTCTATCACCCATTAATTTATCTGCCTAACAAGCTGAATTGCAGTCCATTACCAATACTTTTCCTTGGGAAAACAGGCAAGTGTTTTCCCTAGTGTTTGATGAGCTCACTGGTTGCACGCTTGCTACAGCAGGTATTGTGCCCCTGTGCATGAATGCTGAGATCGGAATGAAGCCCATTACCAGCTTATGGAACTAAGATTAGTAGAAAAGCATATAATATTAATTTAAAAATTAGCACCATGTACATTGTCAGGCTAAGTCAGAATCAGAGTGAGATTCCTCTAGCAACTCTAAAGATAATAGACTAGAAGGAGTGAAACTGAATGCTTCAAAGTCCAAGTTAGAGAGTTACTGCCATGCTGGCATTTCTACCTCCTCCAGCCCTCATTCCTGGGATGTAGATATGAGGCCCAATGTACTCCTGAACTATTGTTAGTTACCAGGATCACTGCTGCTTGGAATGCATGTTCTGTCCATTTCCTGGATCTCAGTTTTGTTTACAATATTAATGCTTTACTTTTTTATTCCTTGTTAATATGTTGCAAGCTCTGTATAAGATAGAGAAAAATACATGCAAAGCAGTATTTACATGATAAGTAAAAAGAGGCATAAATATTATCCATCTAACGAACAGTGCTTTATGGTTGCAAGTACTCCTAGAACATACTGCAAACTGTGGACATGATCTTGCCAGCCAAGATTCTCTGATTAGGGTGGAGATCATTTCACTTCCAGTTTTTATCTGTTCTGTACACTTTCTACATTTCTTGCTCTGACTCAGTCCTTGCTGTCGGCCTTGCTCTCTTCTGAAATTCCAGTGTGGTTTGTGCTGAAAATATTTGACTCTGAATAATTTTTGGTAAGTCTCATGTAACTGTGCTTAACACCATGATTATATCATCCATGTGCATTTCCATAGTACATCGTTGTGATATGATGAAATCAGACATATGACATGAGTAAAAGACCAATTCTATACTATTCTTGCTGCTTCTAATGATATGTCTGCCTGTTTATATGCTAAAAATGACTCACATGTTATGTGAAAAATAATTCTGGAGAAATACCATTGTGTGTGTTGATTTATTACTTTTTACATTTGAAAACATCAATATAAATTATGCTATAGAAAGTGGAAGAAAGCTATTAATCTGACAAGTGTATGCAATTGAATGAGACTCATGATATTGCTGTGTGCTTCTGCATTACTTAAGCTGCACGTACCCTCTGCTTTCCTATAACTTAAAATAGCTACGCTTATTTAAATCTAATTTTGCACCATAAATATATTCCTAGACTGAATTATTTATGCCTCTTGTCGTAAACACTCCAATACATTATACAGTAAAAGTTAGAGGAGAAAATTTGGATGAGATACTATTTCATTACGAGCATTTATGTAAGAGATTTGGGGTAAAAATAGGATCCTCATCATATTTAACCTCACTGTGTATTTTCCCAAGAATCCAGCAGAAAAAAAACATGAGTGAATTAATTTTCAGACTATTTTTATTTTTGAAAATAAATGGTTGCATATCTATGTGCATAGTTGCATAAATCTTTATTTGGACCCTGATCACTCTTCTCCCTATAAAACCCATGGATTAGAACTGTTTACTTGAAGATAGAGTGACTTTAGTTCCCTACTAAAAGTGTATATAACCATAAAGCTACTGTTTATTTCACAGACTAGGAATGTTGGTAAATATTTTCTCTATATTATTCAGACTACTCCTTAAATTTGAACATAACCTGTTTATCAAAGTGTAACTTTTGCTAAACCATTTTTCACTAATTATCCCACTTATGGGCTTAGTAAATATAGGATGTGGTTTCTTAAAATTATCATGAGTTAGTCATATTAATCATGCCATTCTGATGAAGTTTTCTGTGGCCCCATGTTAGGTGGCTTTCCTGTCAGTGAGACACAATAGTTGGCACCTGCAATTATAAAGGAGACGAGGTTAAATTAGGTAGGCTTTTAGGTGATTCAGCTTGTGACTGGCTTCTCTGAAGGAAGAAACATGGAAAAGCTAAGGTGCTTAGTTCATGGTGGCTGGAAAGCAGAGCTGTGAAGCAGTGCCCACGAGAAAGGGGCCAGGAGCCATCCGCAGGACTCTAAGTCAGGCCCTCCTGACCTGCCCAGCGTGCTCTAGCAGTCTAGTGGTTCCACAGCCAGCTGCATTTGCACTACACCCTAATTGTCACTGATTACATGATTAGTTTGTTTTTGAGGTTTGAGCAAAAGAGAATGTTATTACTTGCCAGTTGAAACTTTCTGAACAAATGAAACTGTTCTAAATTCTGGCATTTTCCCTTTTGATATAGAGGCCAGCAGTGCTCAGTGCTGTAGCTTCTATGCAGCCCCCGAGGGTGAGCACCATGGATGCGCAGAATGAAAACAGAAAGCCATGCTGTGAAAGCGCTGAGGGTTTCGAATGCATCTGTTACATAAGAAGCCTTACCCTATTGCAATTGATTTTAATATTTGTTATTCTCATTTCTTCATAGATCAGCATGTGTCCATATGCAACACTGAGACTCTTACTAACAACTCTCAAATTCTTAACACACACAGTATAATAGTCCTAAGTGAAGCAGGCTTTAATATCTGTAACATAGACTGTAAGTGTTAGTTTCGTAGGAATAAACCTGAATCGAAGGTACCAACTTACTCCATCGCCCATGAACCTGGTCTTTTTTTCTGGGAGATTTAAGAAATAATTTCAGTTTTATCCATTTAGTAGATATATATGAAAGTATACGCTTTATAAGTCCACTGCAGATTCAAATAAGTTCCTACATTTAACAATATTCCACAAAATAGTGAAATCAATAATTTGCCTTTGAGAGTTTGAACAGCTAGTTAAACAAACAACAAAAGACAAATAGAGCAATGAAATGTGCACTATTTTACAAAGGATGAGCAAACATTCATGCTTGGTGAACTACTTTGCATTTTTTTGTTTACAAATACAGCAAAGTCAATTGTTTACAAATACAGCAAAGAGCAAATTTAAGTTTGCTTAATGGTCTTTAAAAAAATCATAGTACTATGAAGAAAAGAAGGAAGATAAGGGAATGAAATAAAAGAAATCTTAAAAATAAGAATGTGTGGTTGCATTTGTGTGTGTGTGTGTGTGTGTGTGTGTAAGTTGTATGTGAAGGAAAGACAGAGATAGGAAGATACAAAAAGAACTATCAAAAAAGTAGTTCTAGGCGCTGCATGCACTTTCCTTATATCACATAATGTTTACATCCCTAGAATTAGTTATCAATGTCATGGGTGCTCTCTCCTGAGCTGTCACAGTGACCTTGACTACTTACCTTTCTACATAGTCTAGGAGCCTGGAACAGTGATTGGAAGCAGGTGCATCATGACCTCCTACTGCATAGAGGAAGCCATCGCAAGTGGCCACTCCAACACCTCCTCTCCTCTTACACATGGGGGCACACATGTTCCACTTATTTGTGTGAGGATCATAGTACTCCATTGAACTCAAGCAGGAACTTCCATCACGACCTCCAACTGAGTACAATCTGAAAACAATTGGAAAACTTGATATGTTATCATACTCTGGAGGAAAAAAAAGAAGAGGAAAAAATCATTTAAACATTAATTTCACAATGTGACACGTAAGAAAGAAATATTCAAGTGGAAATTTGGTTACAGACTGTCTATAAATTATTGCACATAACTGGAATTCCAATTACTCTAATATGCAGGATATTAGATGAAATTAAAATGAGTATAATGTTCTAATCTCTACTGATTCTACAAAATTGACTTTAATTTGCTGATTACAGAAACACTAATTTATCTTTATGTACGAGTACTGATAAACAGTGAGGAATAGGCAACAAAATATGGAATCAGATGCAAGAAATTGGCCATAGTTAGAAGAGATAATTTTACTTGCTGATCAGCAATTGATTTGAAATTATATAAATCATGTATGTTCCTTGCATTCAATCCTTAGAATTTATGACAATGAACAGATGGACTAAGCTTACTGAGTCCTGTTCTAGCCAAGATCTCCTTAGTACTTTACTACAGCTTTACAAGGCATAAAAGGATGGAGTGATGCTCAGGTGACTACTGCTACAATGTCATTTCTTCATTTTTCTTTAGTTAGCTCAATAATAAGAAACATGACCAGGAGTCCAGGAAAGTGAATTCTACATCATAATTAGTACTTACATAAATAGAAATATCTTTGCTAGACTTAATGGAACACTTCTTCTGTGTCTGATAACAAAAATTTCGGCACATTAAAGTGCTGCTTTATGACTGCTACTGTCCAATACATACACACACTATCCAACACAAGAAGAATATCCCTGCACTCAAGTCTATTGATGCAGCAGTAAATATAACCACATATATTATAAATTACTGTGGAAAGTATTCATTGTACAGAGTTGAGAAAGAAGTTCAGAGCGTAGTTGATAGGAAGAGGGGTTGTGGTTACAATTTGAAATAAATAACTAGGAAAGTCATTAGTGGAGGCGTAACGCTTGAACAAAACCTTGGAGATGGTGCCAGTGCCTGGAGAGAGATTCAGGAATATCTAGTTCTTGAGGGAATAGTCCAGACAGCTAAATGGTGAGTGCAAACTTGCAGGGCCAGGAAAAGAAGCCACAGAGGCTGAGCGAGATTGAGACTGGCTTTGCATCTGAGGCAGGAAGCTGATGTGGGTTGATGTCACCCTGTCCTCTATGAAGATGTAATATAGCTGCTTAAATAAAAGTAGGTGTGGAAAAGTTCCTTCGCTGTGGATGTCATCTTTTCAGGTATTGACACATAGAATTAATTCCATGTTTTCAGTTTCAATACTACACAGCTAAATGCAAGAAAATGCAAAAATGCACAAGAAAAAGTATGATTTAACATACGAAAACATTCAAGTTTTAGATTTTTCATTTCATAATCCAGTATCTTTGAATAATTCTAGGACATGGTATCTAAACTGATGTTAAATCCTGAGGAGTTTTAAAAAAATTTTATAAATGTTTCTGATTCCCCAAAAGTCACTTTTTGAATGCTATGCCTCTTTGCTTGGTTTCTAAAAAGTTGTCTGCTGACTCTGAGGTTTCAAATGTGTGCACATTAATTACTAGGAGCATTTTCTAGGATGTACTTTGGACTACTTTTCTGAAAAATCACCAGAAGTGAAATAATTATTCATTCAGAAATTTTTATCCTCCCAAACACTGCATGAAGTCTGAAATTCATTTATCTGTTTCATTTAAAAATATAATTCAAAAGAATATTGAAATATTTTTAGACTATGCTTTGCTCAGATATTACTTAATATCTTCACAAGAGTGTAGTTCTTAGTAATTAGTTTATATATAAAAGTATGCAACATTTTTGCCAAAGTTTCAAAGAAAATGTTGTCCTTAAGATGCTCTATTTATTCATATATGTTACACTTACAAGTCTTGTTATGTAATTATTTTAACAGCATTGATAACAGCAGATAATAAAATAGATCTCATCCATAATACATTACATTTTTCTGCAGTTATTTAAAAATTATTATACTAGGGACAACCAATATCTCAGAGGATTAAAGAGCCTGCAAGCAGGCACAGGGGCTGTGGTTTGATCCCCTGGCCTGCTGTGGGATGCACGTGCTGGCCCCGCCCCTGGGATGCACTGAGACAGTGATTGAGACTGGGCGTGGTGGTACGCGCCTGTAATCTCAGCTCTTGGAAGGCTTTAAACCGGGGGATCACTATGAGTCCAGTCTAGTAGTGAGGATCTGAACACCCTGTAGACTCTTCCCTAAAATAAATAAATAAATAAATAAATAAATAAATAAATAAATAAATATACCTATCTTCATCTATATAGACACTGATACATATGTATATCTGGAAATACACACACCAAGCTTTATGAAAAGTAATGAAAATCTATGACCTGCCTACAATAAATCTGAAGAAATGGAAAGTCTGTGTACATTTATATCTGATCTAAGCCAATAAATGATTTAAATATGTTCAGATTTTAGAGACTGGAAAATTATCGAAAACTTCCAAATGAAGAGGAACTCAATAAACGGTGGCTTCACTGATAAGTTCTTGCAAATTCTTAAAGAAGTAAAGACTCACCTGCTAAAATTCTTTCAAAAAATGGGAAGGTAAAAGTATTTTCAACTAGTATTTGTGAAAGCAGAATTTGTCAAATATTAAAGACATAGGCACAAAGAGAAAGTTAGAGACAAATACTCCTGATGCATAGAGATGAGATAATCCTTAATGTACTAATAGCAAACTGATTTCAACAGCATATTTAAAAGCCCATACGCCATATGGCCTAATGGATACATGCCTGTGGCTCAAGGATGGATCAACACAAAAATCAATTTATGAGAGAAATATACCACAGAATGCGATGAAGAGTAAGACTGCATAATCAGCTCAATAGCAAAAAATGTACTTCATAAAATTCAGTACATCTTCACAATGAAAGCACCCAATAAACTAAAAGTAGAAAAAATTAATGTTGACTAGAATGTTATTAATTTAGCCAAATTTTTGCATTGAAAAATACTCAACATTCAGGAAAACAAGTTAAGCGAGAGTCTATGTTTTGTCTATCTCAGAAGATAAAGAAGCATATATAAGTTATTTAAACATGTTTATTTATAGACATTAAATATTGAGTCTGCTAACACTTTTAGTCAATACTATATATTAACATACATTTTAGGTTGAATTTTTAATATAATTACACTTATGAATTTTTCTCTAATG